TTGTGGCATGACCTTAAAAAAGCGGTGAAGGCTCAAAAGCCCTCCAATGTGGCTGAATTACAACAATTCTGCAAAGATGAGCGGGCCAAAATTCCTCCACAGCGCTGTAAAAGACTCATTGCCAGTTATCGCAAAAGCTTGATTGCAGTTGTTGCTGCTAAGGGTGGCCCAACCAGTTATTAGGTTTAGGGGGCAATCACTTTTTCACACAGGGCCATGAAGGTTTGGATTTTTTTTCCCCTTAATAATAAAAACCTTCATTGAAAAACTGCATTTTGTGTTTACTTTTTATCTTTGTCTAATATTTCAATGTGTTTGATCTGAAACATTTCAGTGTGACAAACATGCAAAAAAATAAGAAATCAGGAAGGGGGCAAACACTTTTTCACACAACTGTAGGTTTTATCATGCTATGAAATCCCATATGATGCTGGGTTCTCAAAGTTTCGTTTGTTCTCGGAACAGTACACTGAATGCAGGAACTACAATAAGGCAGAGTATAGCACAGCTTCAGCCTCTGTTGATTTTCTCTTATTTGCACAAGATTCTCTTCATTTTGTTTTGATTAATAAAAAAGTCTATTCCCCAAGAAGGTTGCCAAGATTCTGTCCTTACATGTTTCATTCTAAGGAACATCCTTTCATAACTGAACTAAATGAAACAGTGTTTATATCTTCTGAACAAAAGTACACATGACAAATCTCAGTCCTGCTATCGGAGCAGGTCTCGCATTCACCCTTCCAGCTGACTTCAGTGATTGGGAACCTGACTTTTTTTTTTTCTGGGTTTGGAAGATTCGTTCACACTAAAAAGAAAGACTGCTTTGTCTCCTCCTCCTCTGTGTGGTAGTCTTCCTGCAGCTGGGCCCAGGGGCTCTTGGGAGATCGGCCAACACTTGTCCTTTCTTGAATTGAGCCCCAGTAGAATCAACCTGCTTCAGCAAGAGGCTTTCCTTCCCACTGGGCCCAGTGCAGAACAATAAACTCCCTGATGAGCTGTTCAGTATTGTGCGAGGACAGGAATCAAACTTGGCACAGGAAATTGGAAGGCAGGAAGCTGCCAATGAAGTTCTTGAGACAAACGTCTCGGCGAAAGTCTTTCAAGCTTGGGTTCACAATGATGTTATTTGCTGTAGTAGAGAATAAAGTTCCTCTGATGGCAGGGTACAACTACGGGATGGGTTTCTGTGGTGATGTTCTAGATGTTATCGTTGAGATCTGACGATGGTTCTGTTTGGTATGGTACAGCGGTCTTCTCAATCGGATTGGATTCTGACATGTAAACCAAAATTATTTTAAATTGCATAGTTTCAAGGTATCTTTAATTTTTCATAGCTCCTCAAAGACTGTTTGAATAAGGCCCCAAAACCTAATTCTGTCCATAATAAAGGAGAATTTAAAAGAGCCTAGACCTTTTTTTGACAGGTTTGTTTTTATGGTGTGGTAGACTCAAAAGAACGAGTCAAATAGTTGATATGTTGAGATGTGATTCTGTCTGCCTCCTAGACTAAAGGTCTATGAAACCTCAGATCTTTCCAATCCTGGCTCGCATAAGAAAACTCTTTCAAATTATTCCTTTTGAGAGGTTTTTTCTTCCTTTGATATCAGTTTGTTTACATTACGGGTTACATTTCTCAGTATTCTAAAACTATGTAGACATAGTGCTAAGAAGGGTTATTCAGCCCACTTTGCTCATTTAGGTGCAAGTGGAATTGGTAAGCTACAAGAAAGCAAAGCGCAAGGTGGGCTCTTCCTACTTAAGTCATGTTTTTGTTAGAAATGGTTTCCTAAAATATAAAAATGGAAGCATTGACAGTTGTTATAAATGAGCAATTTCTTTTACATCTACTGTAGCACGTGTTCAGCTTGTCAGCATGCTGTTGTATTCATAAATCATTTAGACCTTGTCTTGTAAGAAATGTTAATGTTGATTGATCAGGGTGAATCCATTCATTTATCTTGTGCTAGATCGGCTATTCTGTCTATGCAAATAAGTGTTTTTTTCATTTGAATTGAAATTAAGATTGAGTTCTCTTTAGGATATACCATTCAAACCACAAGTCTGGGTATTTGATCAGAATGTAAATTTCTCTTTCATAAAAAGCAATGTTATGTCTCATTCTTGCCCACAAAGTGCTGCAGCTGTTCTTCGTCTGAAGTATTAATCACTATATATAGTGTCATTCTATAAGGGAAAAACCATCCGAGTGGCTGAATACCCATTTTATAGCTCTCTAGACTCGTATCCCCACAAAACGCATCACAAGATCTAAAGCAATCAGAAATTACATCACAGGACAAGAGACCCAATTTTGTATTTTTTCTTTATGCAGGATAATCCAAAAATTAATGAAGAATGACTTACTCAAGGATGGCATCTATAAAATTAATCAAATGCACTGTAACTTCGAATTCTTTTTTTGCTTTGGGTTTATGTGAAACTTTTTGAATGTTGACCACAGTATGAATGTAGCCTTTAGAACAACGTTGCAGTAGTCTTTTGATTTCCTTTAAAGATGAGCAGTGGTGAGTCAACTACCACTGTGCTTTATACCAGTACGGGGGAGGTGGCAGTTTGAACATTTGTGATTAACAGGTGTTATGTGTTGAGCTCCTAAAAGCTACATAGTGGCTCCTAAGCTACCAGCCTCAACTTAAATTACCAAAGGGTACAGTGTGTTTTGAAATAACCTGTTGGCTGTTTATGTGCATCATAGACAGGACTTCTTCCACTATCTTTTGTAATCTCCTTGGGTCTGACAGACTAGCGGAGGTCTTTCCCCTGGCCACAGAGAGTCACAAGTATGTATATGCTTATACCATGTGTGGTTTTGATTGGAGTTTTCTTTTGGTTGTGGAAGCTCCCGGTATTTGATGTAGAAAGCTGACTGAAAGGCACAAAACCAGTTAAAGGCCGTGGAAAGGGCCAACTGGGGGACTTTTTCTGACCTGCAGACCGAAGCTACTATACAATGCTTTGTAAAAGTGAGGGGGTGGCCTTTGCTTAACTGAAATCTTAGGACCACTATGCATTAAAATCTTGGGGGAGTCCGTTCTGGTAAGTTCTCCAATTTGAGAGAGAGGAGTGCAGCGTTCTTCAGATTTGTTGTTCTCAGGACAATAGTTACCTATACCCCTGAAACAAGCGGTGAATAAACGGAAGAGACACTTAAGAAAATCGGCTTGCATCCTTTGATTTGCATGGCACTCCTTGGTTCAGTTCCTCTGTCTTCTCTGGGAGTTTGTTACATTGCAAGTGTAAATTTATGGGGTGAGTCATGTAGCACCAGCTTCTGACCGGTGACGCTGATGCACTTTTGTGCTCCTTCAGTCGAACAGCAATTTTTCCACATCAATTACAGCGCGAGAATGGAGTTGACGTGATGAGGTGACGTGAGCCGACTGAGCTTGGTGACTGAATCTTTGCCACAGTGTCCTTGGCTTTTGTATGATGTTTTTTTTTTTTATTCCCATCTCAAGTGTTGCTCGCAGCTAACATACGTCAGCAGGCTGATTGCAGTGTATTAAGGAGTCTTTGAAGTGTTTTTGGAGCAGCGTTTCGAAATGATCGTGCTGTCCACCCTTCAGAATCTGTCGTCCTTCCATGTTGTTGCTGTTTTTGTGGGTGCTTGTGGACGCCTGCTGATCTTGTCTGGTTGCTGCAAACCGCAGTGGGTTGTGTTTTTGGAGTACTATTCTTTTGTTTTTTTTAGAGCACATTGCTGAAGGATAATGTGGGATGTGAGTATTAATTACTGAAGGGCATGCTTATAATGTCCATGGAGTTAACAGAATAAAGGGATCCCCACTGCACAAATAAAAAAAAAAAAATTATGGTGATGTAGAACAAGCCTCCCTCTGTCTAGGGTTCCAGTCAGTTTCATTCCCTTCTCTTCTCATGCTTCCCTTTTGTGCTTTTTCTCTTCTTTTCTTTGCTCACTTGTACTCGTCTCTCTCTGTAATTGGTCTTTGAGGACCTGGGAGTGAGGCAGAATTGGCTCACATCCTCTAGTCACGGCTGGAATATGGAGTAGTGTACACTGCCTCCAAATACAGCATTTCCTTCAACCTTAACTACTTCCTAACTCAAACAATTGGGAGAGTGAGCAAGGAGATCTTATCGTGTCTCTCTGTTCCTGATGTTATTTTTGGCTTGTTGCTTTAACCGATTGTTGAGACTAAACTTAGATTCCTATTATTCTTGTTCTGTTTTCCTGCACGGAGTAAATTGTCGTAGATACTGAGCCAGCAGTAAATTCATTATTTTGGCCTTTTCAGTACAGAACATAATGATAAAAGTTTATCTGGATAATATAGTAAACACTTGAGCAGTAAGATTCCACTGTGAGTTAACGCCAGAGCCTCTTAGTGGTCAGGAAGGGAATTTTTTTTTAAGCTCTAAAGGAACAGTTTTGCTGAATCTACTTAGATAATTGTTTCTGTTGGAGACCTATACTATACTGTATGGGCTGCATCAGTATGTTAATGGTCTTCAATAAGTTATGCATTGCCTTTCACAAAGGTTTGGAAACATCTGTAAAAAGAACAAGATTTGTACGGCCCCCTTAAATCATCAACTGCTTGAACTGAAGAAGAGATTAAATTTAATTCAGTGAAGGCTTAATTAGAGAGATTTTAGTTTCCCCCACAGTTTTGAAGCTGCACTCATTTAAGAAGTATTACACTACTTGCACAGCTGTTCCTTTTACATACTGGACTTTGGGAACTCTACATGTTTGGCTCTACTACATGAATGTTTTACAGGCAAAATTTGAAAGGGAAAACTCCCGAGTCTTTCATAGGATATACAATCACTTAAATAAAATTCAACATTTTGTAAAAATACACTTGTGGATGTTAGTCCCCTATGGAAACTTAGCTGAATTTTCCCTGCCTGTGTTCTGGGCTACTATGTCATTTGCCCTAAGAGCGTCAGTTTAAGCGTGACTGGTTTGACATTAGTTTTCATGGTGTAGTGGGAGTAGACAATAGATGGCACAATGGTGAAGACATTTTATTCAAGGTTTATTTTCCAGAAAGGTAATGACAGCGATGCCTTTTGACGTTCATGCTTGTGGCGCTTTGCTAGCAACTTGTATTTTTGGGATTTGTTCCGAGATGTCAAGATGGTGAAGAAGCAAGTAGGTTATTAAATTGGCAGTGTAGCTTTACCTCCCCCGGCTTTCTATGATTCATAAGAAAGCAGCTCGTTTGTCCTTTTGTGACGGTCTCGCTCATTTAAAAGTTATTAGTTGATGTGGCTTACTAGAGATAACAGATTTTTTTTTTAACTGTTGTGCTGTTTCTTCCTCTTTATTTTTTCTTAATTGTGGTGTGGTAGTTTTAAAAAGGGGTCTCCTTAAATTTAATAGCGATCCTCCAATGAAAAATGCCAGTACTGATGGGTTTCATTGCTCAGAATGGCGAGATGCAAAAAGGAGGCTTGCTCCTCTGGTAATTTTGCTTTGCTAACAATTGTGAATATAGCTGAAGACTTTGTGATTTTTAATTGCTGGAATTAAGTGTATGTCTGGTAGCTTGACATAGAATTATTATTCAGTTAACCAGGCTGTAATCGTGTATACCTTAAGATCACCGCTGCATAAAACATTTGCTAAAGGTCAGTTTGCTGGAGGAGTTTAAATGCCTGTTCTAGGCTGAGATAATTAAAATTAAAGAGCAGATGGATACATTTACATTGATCAGCACCATTGTTATAAATGAGACAGAAAACATTCTTCTATGACATTTTGTAATTGTATTCATTACTACCTGTGAACACAGGCAAGATTGTTAAAAATAGTTGTTGGCACTTGATGGCTTGACTTCATTTTGGGGGTTTACAGTCATTGATGGCGCTTTTGAAAATTAATCCTTATTAATCCCAAAGTAATTGTTTATGCTGTTCTACTTAAGCCTTGGTTCTTTTCAGCTGTCTTCCATATAGAGCTTTAAAGGTTTCTTATGCCAATATATCATCCTCTCAGAAGGGACAAAGTTAAAAAAAACTTGTTGTTAACATGGTAGCAGATGTGTGCAGTGTTGCGAAAAAATGAGAAAAGTCTCAAATTTTGTAAAGCTCCAGGTGGGATAACCAGAAATTGTCAGAGAAGCCCGTTCTGAGTTTATTTTCCAATTTTTGACATGTGAATGTACAAGTTTATCCAGACAGCCCACGCAGTAAACACAGCTGAGTTGATAGTTCAATGGCATTCTGCTGCAGAAAACAATATCGCCAGAATAATCCAGGGCTGGGCCAGGAAATGCAGTGCTGAGGTCAATGATCTGAGTGCTCTTGCAGACAAGCTGTGGTTTATGATCTGAAGACTGTCCATTACAATCAGACCTTGTTTTTCCTTGTTTTGCAGTAAACTGAGACACCAGGCCCAGAGTGAGAGGTTTGGCTACAAGGAGGTAAGCACAGCACTGGACTTGCTCTTAACCCAGTCCCCCCCTCCTTATACTGGCCTGCCAAAGCCAGAATCAAGACGTCTTTCCTGGTGCTGTAAATGCCTAACCCGTCTAGGCCAGATGTTTGCAAAGTGCAGGGAGTCTCCAGGCACTCGGGACATCCCATTTCTTTTTGTTTATTTAATATTACAGAGTAGTCACAGAAGAGACATTAAATTTACACTTTTTAAGAGAATAGCAATGAAATGAAAAATTAAATTAAAGGAAAAGAAGAATGAAACAAAAACAGGTACAGTCACAGCTACGTTTACCATAAAAAAGGCATAAGGTTTATATTGTAATTATATATAATGGGTTAGGAGTATATACTGAGCTCCTCTTTTAAACCTAATGCTCTCAAAAGCTTATCCCACAATTCTTTAAAACGTTCTAAAGTTCACCTTTTAGGATGAATCTTAACTTTTCTAAAGAGGGACAGCCCATTTCTATATAAACTGGAGCAGCACTTGTCCGTCACTTTGCAAGAGCCCCTCAAGAGAGGGAGCCTGGATTATTAGCAATGGTTAACTCTCCATGAGTTCACTTAATTGAGCATCTGTTTTCTCTAGTAATGGCCTAGGTTAGATTTTAGACCCCAGACTCTTTTATCTGGGGATTTGTCATTAGCCAGCTGAGCCTGGGGTTCTGACTTGAGCTGTCGCTGGGGTTTCCTCAGATTGTCATGCAACAGCAGCCCAGCCACCTGTGAGCTTGTGGTGCTATCAGTGATAGCCCTGTCAGTTCTGAAGTTTCTGGTCTCCTTTGCTGTGTGAAAGGAAACAGACGGAAATGCGAAGGGTCTGACGTATTGAGTGAATATTTCTGGAGGATGTGGCGTCTTAATCTTTCCTGTGCATGTACAAGACTTGTACTGCTGAAGACTAGAATTTCTCCCTGGAATACTAAAAAGATCAATGCATTTGCCAGCAGCCAGAACTCACTTTATCAAAGGAATGATTTAAAAAACAGGCAGTCACCAGATAGCTTGATGGAGTCTTCATCAAGGGAATCTATTGACATCAGTGACATTAGTGAATGAAAGACTGAAAATGTCCAGCACAGGACATACAAGGAATTTTAAAGGGATGTGGAGGGGAGTCAAATCCTCATAGCTACACAATACTGTAGAACTACTTTGTGTCCTAAGAAAGTTATCTGAAAAACAGAGTGGGGAATTTTTTTCTTGACATTCAGTCTAAGTAATAATGGCAAATACTACTGACTGAAATACTGCAGTTAAGATCTTGGCTATATAAACAAGGGACACATTTTCTCCTAGAAAGGCATTTGGTAGTCTCTTTTTTTCCAAGCCTCCTCCTGCTCAGATACAGGCCTTCTTCTCAAGGTGGTATTCTAAAATCTAAGCTCAAAAATGTGCTTCTACAGTTTGTATTAACACATGTTAACACATCTCATTCCACAGGTTGTTTTAAAAGGGGATGCCAAGAAGCTGAATCTGCATGGGGTAGGTTTCTTCTCTGCACACGCACTTGAAATATGTTTATGCTAGAAATTCAATAGCATTCTTTTAAAGGCTATTCATAAAAAGCTTTTAAAACTACTGAGGAGAAGTAGGTTGTGTGTATTTCACATGGAAAACACAAAATAAAATCAGAAAAATAAGGAGAGGCCGGCATTGCTTTCCATGTTGGCATTGTAAGAACTTTGACCCACACGGTTTGAGAATCTAAAGTACATCTAGAGGAATTGACTTCCATTGTGTGGCTTTGCAACTTACTCCTCACACACCTCATCATTCAACCCTATAATATTGCGCAGGTCTGAATGCTTTGTAATTTTGCAATCGGGTCCTGCTTGCTTTTGTTAGGCTTTTAAAGAAGAGGCTGGAGCATTTGTTTGCTTGACAAGTGTGCAAATGTCAGAAGGCAGGCTGGCATGAAGTTGAAGGTCACACTTTGAGATGAGGTGTTTTTATGTGCTGTTTGAGCTCGAGCTTCATATTACTCAAGTGTTTGATATCTCGCCCTCTTCTTGGTGTTGCCATCACAGCAGACATGTGCCGTTTGCCTGGAGGATTTCAAGGTGAAAGATGAGCTGGGAGTGTCTCCATGCCAACATGCCTTCCACAGGAAGTGAGTAGCGAATCGGAATGTGCAGGGATGACCGCTTTGGACTATATGGGCTTCAGAGGTCTGACTGAGTAAAATTAGCCTCTAGAAAAAGGCCTTGATCTCTGCCGTCTGTCGGCAGTGGTTCACTTTAATAAATACATTCAGAATCATTGTTCTGGCTGACAGCATGCATGATGCCAATGCTTGGCCAAGTTCTATGATAGCTGCAGTAGCATATCAGCGCTGGCAGAACTTTTAATAAAATTGGAAGATTCTTGAAACTTCATTTTCAGGTCATTCTTTACATGTGTGCATTGAAGTTATGTTTCCAAACACACCTGAATAGACCAATCTCTGTAAACCGGAACAAAGCTATTGCAGAACTGAAGAGTGGTTTACACTGCTTAGGTGGGAACGATAGATCAGAGCAGAAAATTAATTTTCATCCGTAGCATGATTTTAAAATATACTACAATGGAAAAGCATGTTTTGCTTAACGTAATTAATGCCAAGTCTGACGACTTAGTTTATTCCATAAAACCTTTTGAAAGCTAAACTTTGTAGATCACTTATGGTTGAATTGTCAACCTTTAGTCCTGTGCACATCATATAGACATTTATATAATGCATATATACTGATGAGGGAAAAAAGAAACAACACCTCCTCCACACTGCGTGGAACAGGCTGAAGAGTGACTCCATCCCTGAAGAGGACCTGATGCCACTGCTGACGAGTCCATCGCAGCCTCTGTCTGGCCCAAGCCAGTTGTTGTGACGTCTAGGAAGTGTGAGCAGAGGGCCTCTGACAGGTCGCCTTGCTCTAAGGCCAGCAGTATTGAGCCTCACTGTCCTGTCACTGATACGGGCATTGTGTCTGCTGGCAGTTTCAGTAGGAGTACAGGTGGCAGATCTGAACAATCGCTCAGATGGACCAGTCTGATGTGTAGGTCCTGCTCTGGTGTGGTCACTCAAGGGTGATTGGATCTTGGACGGTCATCTGTCCTGAAGTTCTGCTGAAACCTTCTCTGCAGACGGGAGCAGCTTACTCCATGGTGTCTGGCAACGCTGGCACATGACATGTCTGCCTGCAGCATGCCAATGGCCCTCTCCCTTGCTTCTGGTGACATTTGAGGCATTATGGAATGCACAGCAAACTAAGTGTGGCCTTTTTCTTGCGGTGACCAAAGCTTTGAATCATGGCCTCTTTAAAGGTGACTTGATCAGGCATTGTTCCACCTGGACTTCGTTTGGTAAAAGTGCACCTAACAAGCTTTTGTGTGATTGGCAAGTTGCAATGCCTCACTGCACAAGCTATACTGCTGGTCAGAGGGCTTAAAACAAATTGACAACTTTTTGTGAAAGTATATAAGTTATAACTACAGTATTCTCATTCCAGAAAATGTTGCGTTTCTTTTTTCCATCAGTATATATAGATGTGTATCATAGTTAATCCCTGAGTGTTTTTGTCTTGTACTGTAAGCAAACATGTTTGGCCGTCTTAAGGAGGAGTGTCTTTTAACCTCTCTTCACCAAATTGTACCCTTTTAGTGTGTCTGAGTCTGTGTTACAACCTTCAGCAGCTCATTGGGACACCTTAAAGTTTATAAACTTGGCCCATCAGGCTCATTTGTGTTCCTGTAGTCCCATAGTCTGTGTTGTTTACTGGGAAAAGCCCACTTCCCTGGAAAGGGACAGTTAAATCTAACCTGCCTGTCTTTGGGAGGAAAAGGGAGTGCCCAGTGAACACAGGAGGACAGGAAACGTGCTAACGCCCCATAGACAAGCAGCAAAATAGTTGAACCCAGGACCCTAGGGCAATGAGGTAGTAGTGTTCACAGTGTAACAATTTTGTTCCATTTTTCTGTTCGCAGGTGTTTGGTAAAGTGGTTGGAGGTGCGATGTGTCTGTCCGATGTGTAACAAACCCATCGCTGGGCCTCCAGAGCAGCACCAAAGCATTGGGACACTACTGGATGAACTGGTGTGAAGGGCTTCAGAATTCAGACTGACACTAGACCACTCTCTGTAAGATTAAAGGCAAAACTCCGCCAACCTCTTTCCTGTGCATGACAATACGAGTCAGCCCCAGAATACCATGCTCAAGTGAAAAAGAGAGCAGGCTGCAACACTGGACGCAATCGGAAAAGAAATATAAAATGCCAAGGAACAACAGTTAAAGCTCTCAGTAAGACGGGGAAGAGGAACAGGGACAAACAAACGGCAAGGGGGGAGGGTTTTTAAAGCAGCGCTTACTGTGCATCTGTACAACATACCTGGTCTGCAGACCTTTGTGCTGCTCTGAAGTCGAATGGGGAAACTGGTTCATTTTCAGAAAACCAGAAATGGGCTATACTGATCTGGAGACAGGGGTCTGCCAACATTACTACACAATCAAGTTTTTTTAAAGACAAGAGAGCCCATGATAAGTGATCACTTTTCTTTTGTTAACCTCTTGCTAAGAACTTTTTTTTAAAATCAGAACTGACTTAACAAAAAGTGCATTAAGTCTTAGTAACATTTTGGTGTTTACTGAGATTAACAGTTGTTTTAATTGTTGCCAAACTTACATTTTGTATGGTTTGTAATGAAATCCTTTTCCCTAAATATCTTTAACTACAGCCAGTGACCACTGATCTGAAAAATGTAGTGTTTGCAATGTATGTCAAACAGGGTTGAAATGCTTTGCATTAGTCTACAGGCACTAATCTAAGGAAATGGACGGTCAGTTATGTTTGCTGTCATATCCAAGGATTGTGCCTATAAAAATGTATTCCATTTAAACAGGCATAAAATGGAAGGAAATGACACAAACATTATATACAGTACATTTAAAATTAAAAAGTAATTGTGGCATAGCTTCGAACAGAGATTTGAAAGTATCTCTGATGGGACAAAGATCTGCTTGTGAAGTGTCTGAGGTTTGTAATGCACATTGTCTGCCTATCTGATCCTGTCTCTCTGCTAGTGAAAACTACTATGAGGTTGAGTTGCTTTTATCCCTAATGTTCTGTGTCGCTGAAAAAGACACGCTGAAGCCTTTTTTTTTAGAAAAAAAATGGGTGAAATCAGGATAGGGCCAGATAGTTCTTAAGTGTTCAGATTGCTAACCTGCATTTATATTGCACATGGCTTTCATTTTCCCCAAGGTGGCCACAAAAGAGCTCTAAATGGGAAGTAATGGGAAGCAACCGTTTTCTAAGTGGTTAAATTCAGCTGCTGTTTGTGTACCGGGGTCGAGCAAGAGTCACTACCCGAGTAATTTCTATAACAATTGTACAGTCTTTTATTCCTTTGTTGTTGCATTTGTTTATTGCGTAAATGTGAAAATAAAACACAAATTTGGAGATGCTTCTTTTAAAAGTTGTATGGATGTTTTTGCAACAGAGGGTTGAATACCTTACTCATTCTCTGGGTTCTCAAAGTCAACTAGAAAACTATGCTCTTTAGATGTTGTTGAGGGCAAAAATGAGCAAGACCTAGTTTTGTCAGCTGCAGCACCATGAATTATTTCTCCCCACTGACTGGTTTAAGATGCTGTTTATAGACAAAAAGATTTGATACAGAAGGAAACTTTCCTCTAATGAAATGAAGCCCAAAGACATGTTCATAACCCGGGGGGTAAGTCACAAAAAACAGTCCTCCAAACATTCATTGCTCTCCAAAACAGGCACGTAGAAACTATGGTAATTTAACAATGGTTAGCTTGTGATAACTTAGCTTATTAAAATCCAGCAAATGAAAGAATTTACCAAGTCAGCATACAGTATATGCATACTTTTACTATGCATAAGGACTAATTACCCACTATTTCAAATGTATTTTAGGCACATTTTCCACTTAGTTTGCGTTCAGGAAATTTGGGTACAAGATTTTCACAATGGACATTGTCTCAAATGTTTGAAATTAAATCACAGGGGAAGCAACAAAGCTTGTAAAGCAAAAGAAAAATGGTGTAAACATGAACATTTTAAGGACAGTGCTACAGCATGCTGTAGTCTCCACTAATTGTAAAGAGAACATGTTGGAGTTCCTGTACAGCTGGTCAGTATGTGCACCATTCCTCTGGGTTTGATGTTTTTATCATTACTGGCATACTAAAAATAAGGGGCACGATGATTAGTTTTGTTCATTTTGCTGGCATGACCTTACATTGTTGGATTCTTTCCCAAGAATAAATGTACTAGTTTATTCAAACATGAGGAAAAGCCAGTGTGAAAACATCAAACATCAACCAAAGATTGAAAATGAGAGAGGAGCAATTGGAGATCATCACTTGACCCACCTGCTCGGGTACAGTAGCCTGTTGAAGAAGGGGTGTGAATGGTGTGCCTACATAATATGGAAAAATGGACAAAGTGTTAATGGACACCTTGTCATTTTGCAGGTAAGATAAAAAAAGAAGTTTGGGTCACGAGGATTTCCATGAGAGAGTGGCTGTCATTCAGGGCCTGCCCCCCATATGTTACCATATGTGGAAATTTGGGGTCCATACCGCTTATCTTCTGCAATCCTGCTTTTCCAAGAAAGTTGTAAGCTGTTAGGTTTGCATGCAAATTAGCAGACGCCTTATCAAATCATGTAATAATTCTAAGGGCACTTTTAACACTTAAATCCAGTTTCTCTGCAGCCAGAAGCAGATCTTGGGTCTCTGACTATGTAATGGAAGAATTTTTCCTTTTGATATTTTAACATATTTGCCAGCAGAGGACTAATTTTATTAGACCCCTGCCATGGATAAATGAATCACAAAAATTTAAATACATGTCTTAGTTATTTTTTTGCTTCATGCTTTCTTTTTTTTAATCCTGTAATAATGCTCAGCATAAGCATAACCTTGCTGGAGATCTGAGTGTTCAGACATTCTTAATAGGTTGCTATGTCAATGTCTTCTTGTTCCATGTGAGTAATAAAATGATTGCATTTCATTGTCTGTCAGTGAAATGGTATTAGGCTGTTACGTTTATGGTTTAGATGATTATACACCTGCTAAGAAGCCTTTTAGGTAGAGATTGTAGGGCAATTTCCAATGTCCATTACAACAGTAATGTCTCCACTTTTTATTTCAAATGCATACCTGTACTTGGCGTCTCTAAGATTTAAGTTGAACACCCTGCACAAGTCAAGCTGAGTCATTTCACATTGGTATTCATCAGATTTTGCTCTTTAAAAATGCATCCCCAGTTTCCCATTTAAAAGTGGAAATTGGCAGTGCTGTTAAACTTTTACTGAAACTTAATCTTTTTTTCAGTTGGTTCTTAATACCCAGACATGACTGTAATGAACTACAAATTTAGTGATTTCTCAAACCCAAACTGGACAATTGATTCTTAAAATTCCAGCTATAGGACTGTGATGTTTGAACTTTCTTGTAACTGAAACAGCTCACACAAAGTTAGATCACAAACACCTTACTCCCTAGAAACCCACATTGCTGGGTTTACTTATGCAGGGCCCAGCAGATGCAGGTAGAGGAG